GGGGGGACGTGACAGGGGGAGACGGCGGGGGGACGTGACAGGGGGAGGCGGCGGGGGGCGGCGGGAGGAGGCGGCCGGGGGGAGGCGGCGGGGGGAGGCGGCGGGGGGACGTGACAGGGGGGAGACGGCGGGGGCGGCGGGGCTGGGGGCTGGGGGAGGCGGCGGGGGACGGCGGGTGGAGGCGGCGGGTGGAGGCTGCGGGGCTATAAGCGACACGGGGGAGGCGACACGGGGAGCGCTAACCTACATATCTGTCACCGCGACCACGCTCCGTCGCATTGCTATTGTTCGTGCGGCAGCGCGGCGCCGACGCGGAAACATCAGCAGACGACAAGCGAAGCAGACGATCAACGGAGAGGTGAGCGCGGGCTGAGCGACACACATACACACCTCACAGCTAGAGCCACCACCTACACACCTCACATCTATACACCTACACGCGCCTACACCTACACACCACACAGCTATACACCTACACGCAACTACACCTACACACCACACTGTTACACCTACACGCGCCTACACCTACACACCACACTGTTACACCTACACGCGCCTACACTTACACAGCACACTGTTACACTCTAACTCTTACACTTACACAACACACTGTTACACTCTGACTCCTACACTTACACACCACACTGTTACACTCTCACTCCTACACCCACACGCTTACACACCTACACGCAGCTACACCTACACGCCCACAAATACACGCCTACACTGTCACGCACCTACTAACTCCTGCACTCACACGTACACACCTAGACTCACCACACTTTCACTCCGACACACTCACACCTACACCAGCACACTTACACACCTACACCAGCACACTTACACACCTACACCAGCACACTTACACACCTACACCAGCACACTTACACACCTACACCAGCACACTTACACAATTACACGTCTACACTTTCTCTCACACACACTCTCTCCCTCTCTGTCATAAACACACACACACANCACACACACACACACACACACACACACACACACACACACACACACACACACACACACACACACACACACACACACACACACACACACGCACACACACACACACACACACACACACACACACACACACAACCCGTGGCTGCACAGACGGAAACCCCACTCACGGATCTACTTCCGGTCAGCAAGGTCACCCTCACGGAAGTCGCGCTCCGGGATCCAGTTTCCGGTCCGGAATCAGACGCGGAAGCGTCGCTCCCAGCCACGACAGGAGCTCGCAGCGACAGCGCGGACGGTAGCGACGTTGGCGATGGCGCTGACAACAGTTGGTCACGTAGCGATGGCGCCGTTGATGATGAGGAGGTGGCCACCCAGACATATGGCCGGACAATGAAGGTAGGCGAGCATATATAAATAAATAAATAAATTTATGTGTGTATGTATGTATTTATTTATTTATGTGTATATTATTATTACTATTGAAGTCCTTATATAGAAGCAGACTTCCGGGTTCTCTATGTATCAATAACCTATCACTCTGTACGCACTGTACACACAAGCTAGTTAAAGAGCGATGGAAGCAGCGTGCATAGTAAGACAGCGATTGTAAACCACACTGCACAAATGAGATAAAACAGAATATATATATATCATATCATATCATATATCAACTATAACAAAATCCCTACTAGGAGAATATAGCCTCTGAGAATATATATATTATATATATTATATATAACCATATTTTTGTTTTTTATGAGCTCTGTTTGATCTCATGGACGGACTCCCTGTCTCACAATGCACGGCCCGTTTGCTGTCATGGTTCCTTACTAGTTGCGCGTGCGTGTGTGTGTGTGTGCGTGCGTGCGTGCGTGCGTGCGTGTGTGTGTGTGTGCGTGCGTGCGTGTGTGTGTGTGT